AGCTCAGGGGCTCCCTAAACCCTAAACCCTGAGACCTAAACCCTACTTTAAGGGTCGCGTATGCCTTATGATCCACCCCCCTGGGGTTTAGGCTTTAGGGTTTAGGGTTTAGGGTTTAGGGTACTTAAAAGGATCATGGGACTTAGTAAGTAGGGTTATAATTTGGGGTAACTATACTTATGAACCCCGATTAAGGGACTTATAACCTTACTTACTAAGTCCCATCCCATGATCCTCTAAGCAGGGCTCTTGTTCGTCAGGAGTATGACAGGGGTTTCCTCTTGGGGATCGGACGCTATGGGCATGTTCAGGGTGTGTATTCATAGTTCGACACAGACTGTTTAGGGTTTAGGGTTTAGGGTTTAGGGTTTAGGGTTTAGGGTTTAGGGTTTAGGGTCAGACAGACTGCCTTCTTGCAGGATTAAATGCTCGTCGAATTCAGGTTAGAGTTTCGTTGCTTATCATGGCTCTCGCGCGGCTGTGGTGTTGGCAACGTTAGCGCTAGATGCACAGAGCCTAAGCCACACTTGTTTGCAAAGGTTCCAACTGTCTACACCGTAGCCTGAACTGCTCTACGTCGTTGCCGGAAACCAGTAATACCCACCCAACCCGAAAGTTCAGCACTAATTAAATCCAAAGGCTCTGCAAACTGATATGCTGAACTTCTTCTGCCGGGTTCCCCATGCAAGACCCCAATCCCACACTCAAAGCCCTACACTCCAGACACGCCTATACCCTCAGCTCTCAACCCTGACATCCCCGAACCCAACCTCCCCCCGCAATCCTAAACCCGCTAGCCCCAAACTCCGCAAATCCTAAGCCTAAGACCCTGAATCCTAACCCCTTGTTAAACCCAAATAGAGGTGCCTAAATAATTACCTATACTATTCTGGGTGTTCCTTATTATACTTATTCTAATTATTAAGGCCCCTATATTAAACCCCAAACTCTCCAAACCCCAAAGCCTACACCCTGAACTTGAGAAGTCATCGAGGTGACCGTCATCTTCACCGTCGAGCTGGCACTGCGCCTTTGCGTCGCCTCTTCGCCACTGTCTCGGAACCAGACAAACATGTAGGGCTCATAGGCTATCGTCTTCGGGTCAGAATTCAGTTATGCTCCAGGGTTGCAGGGTTTGTGGTCATAGGGGCCATAGGGTTGAGGGTTTTGTGTTTGACACGGCTCCCTTCTGCAAAGTTTAGACTTTCGGTTGAAGTGTAAGGGCCTGGGGCTTTTAGGCTTCGGCTTCAAGGTTCACATGTGGGAGGTTCAGAAAATTAGGGTACCTTATTATGGGGTCCTTATATTAGGGATCCTATTATTTAGGGTACTATATTAGGGTCCCCTAATTTCGGAAAGTCCCATGTACGAAGTGTTCTGCTACCTACCGTTCCTGTCGCATCCAGATTCCTGATCAGGAGAGGCTCTGGTTTGCGCGCGGCGTGGAGGGGCCGGTGAAGGCTAGATTTGTGTAAGTTAGAGGCTCCTCGGAGGGACTGGAAGAAGAGTTGCCTAAACCCTAAACCCTAAACCCTAAACCCTAAACCGCTGAGTTGCTACTCCAGGCCTGCCTGACTTCAGTTCGTCGGGCTGAAGAAGAGAGCACCCCGCAGAGCCTGCCCCAAACCCTGAAGGCATGTTGTCAGTAACGATTCCTTTGCTTGTGATTGTTGTTCTTCTTATTGTTATTACGACTATTACCAGCTTGACTGCCGGAGCGAATTTTGCAAGAGCAGGGATTTGCCAGTCTCAGCGGGTTACGACTATTACTGCTGTTATTCTTTTATTGCTATGATTACCATTCTTGTTCTTGTTTTTTGTTATTACTACTTGTTTTGTTTCTGATGATCAGTATTGTTCTCACTATGCTGTTAGATAGTGTATAAATACTATTCTTGGTGTTATTTCCAGCAATTCCTAGAACCTGCTTGGGGCGAAGTTCTCTTTCGTGTATGGTAGGGAATGGTCTTGCCCTGAAGCCCTTAATTTCAGAACCCCCCGTGTGGTTCCTAACCCAAAGGGATCCTATGTACTGTTATAGGGGATACTTCCCTAAATCATAATAACAACTCCGAATATAGAACCCTACATTCTAATAAAGGTGCATAGGAATCATAGGACCCTTTGGGGTAATGGCTTCGAATATATAGAACCCCTACATTCTAATATAGGTACATCGGACCCTTTGGGTAATCTGAGATCTTGGTCTGAACCTATGAGCCTTCTTTACTTCAAGGCTGCAGTCCCTGTCAAGTGTGTTCAACAGGTTGAGGGTTTAGGGTTTAAGGTTTAGGGTTTAGGGTTTAGGGTTTAGGGTTTAAGGTTTAGGGTTTAGGGTTTAGGGTTTAAGGTTTGGGGTTTAGGGTTCTTATGTTCTCCCAGCCCCCAAGAACCGCACAGGGTATCCACATGAAGATTCCAAATAGGACATAAGCCAGGTTCCCTTTTGACATTGGAGTTCCGCTTTAGGGATCCTAAAATATTGGAGTCCATGATAGGGTTTAGGGTTTAGGGTTATAGGGATCCTAAATATTGGAGAGACGGATCCATGCTTGAACTCGTCTGACTCAGCAAACGTTGAGCTGTAGTAGCCGCCAGACCGGATTTACTGGGCGCTGACGGTTGAACTCCGAAACATTCAGTGAACGTCTGCCGCCAAAAACCGCATACATCACAACCATGAATCCCTGAATCCCAAAGCACCGAACAGCAAACCAAGAACCCTAAAGCAACAGCTTTAAGGATCCTCGGATTCTTCACCAATGGCTTTAACCTCGTGGATGTGGTGGCGGTGCTCCCGGGTTTCTTGTAAGTCATAAATGAAGTAAGTATGAGCAAGTATAGTAAAACTTGGTTTTGCGGATGGAATCATGGTATACCGATCTGCAAGTACATGCACTGTAAGGGGCGAGTAGCTTCTAGCCGATACCGTGGCGTGAGTAGGTAAAATCGTGAGGCGTCCTATGGAGCACATGCAATTGCACGAAATTTACGCGTACAGGGTTAGGCCACTTGGTAGAAACTTGTCAGCAGGACGGAGGACGGTTGGACTCTGGGGGAATCTGCTCGCAGCGGCACCCAACACCCTGAATTGTATCAGAGGTCCGTCTGAATCTCTTGCCTGCTCTGAGCCCAAACCCCAAACCCATCTCCCCTTGATCATCTCCACACCCGACGCTCCCGAAGTATGGACAGAATTTAAGACTTTTGTGTCTCACTTTCCGGAACTATGCAGCAGCGTTGCAGTACGGTACAACATACGCCAGAGGCCTGTTCTTGCTATCGAGGCTTTTCACATTGCATCTGCATCTGTGCTCCTTACATCCAGGTTATTTCGAGTTCTTCTTTGGGGGCGACACCCACACACTTCATGCTGTGCTCACGCTGCGGGTGCTGCGGATCATGTGGTTCATTCGCATTCTCAGGCCGGGGGTTGTCCACATTGAGGGTCGCTGGGTCCTTTTCGGTTGTCCTTAACTGTGCTGTGCTTCCGGTTCTGGTTTAGGGTTTAGGGTTATAGGGTTTGTGGTTTAGGGTTCAGGGTCTAGGGTTTAGGTCTGGATTTTAGAGTGTAGGATTCTCTCTCTGTCTCTCTCTCCCTCTCTCTGTCCCTGGCACCTCTGGGACCCTCCGACTTCAGTCCGTCGCAGCCAGAGCTCAGAAGGAGGAGGCTGCACTTCGGTGTGACATCGTCTCCCTTTAGGGTTTAAGTATTAGGGTTTCGGAACTGGTGTTCAGAGTGTCGGGTTTGGGTTTTAGGGTAGGCATGGGTAGGGTCATTCAGAGTCTTGGGAAATTCAAAACAATGAAGACTATTCCGGAATAGGAGCCAGAAAGGGTACGAAGACTGGAAGAATCGGTTCTTAACTCTGGTGATCCATACATAGGGCAGCCGCAATCACAGCGCTTGTGCCCCGACGAGCTTCACTTGCTCAGTCCTCTGATTCCTGGATGGCTTCTTGACTTGATGCCAGACCCCTGGCAGTCAAAAACTAGAAACCTTCAGCCCCTAAGCCACCAGCTAAACTCCACTCAACATCCCCACCCCAAACCGTCAAACCTAAACTTTTAAACCACCGAAGCTGGAACCTCCCCTTTACCCCTTTGTTGTACATGTTAAAACTAGGGCCTACGAGCCCCAAGCCCTCAACCTCGCACCAACGCACACCCAGAAACCAATGTACAGGCCATAATGGTTACAATACAGTTTTTGGGCGGTTTCCTAATATGGTAAAAGTATAGTACACCACCAAACCCTATTATTGTAATAATGAAGGCCCCTATATCAGCTCCCTGGACGTTGCCGAAACGTCAGCAGCAGCAAAAGGAATTGTTCTCTTGGTGAAGCCCTGGCCCGGACATTCACAAAACGGCTGCTGTCATAATCCACACCAGTACTCAGCGCATGTAAAACACGCCGTAGGTACATATAGTCATCTATAGTAGCCACACGAGTCGCAGTAGACACCCATATAAGACGCGTGGATGCAGATTGGTAGTAGTGGAAATCTTCAACCCCGAGCCCTAAACCGGAAATGTTAAACCCGCAACCCTGAACCGGAAATCTTAAACCCCAGAGCCTAAACCGGAAATTTTAAGATACCTGTCCGAGCTTCGGGAGGCTCCTCAAAGTGGCTCGGCATTTCCCCTTCCTGTCCTTCTCCATGTCTGAGCCTGGGCTGAACAGCTTTTAGGGTTTAGGGTTTTTGAAGCGATTTATGGCTTAAAGCCTAAGTTCAGTAGACCCTTACAGTAAGGGTCTGCTGAAAGTAGGGTTCAGGTAAGGGTGTTGCCAAGGTTTGGGCTTTAGAGCTCCAAGGTTATGGGATGTCGCGCTTAAGGGTACCTAAGGGTTGGTGATTCTTTAGACTTTAGGGTTTAGGGTTTAGGGTTTAGGGTTTAGGGTTTAGGGTTTAGGGTTTAGGGAATTAGAGTCTCGGCCCCTAAACCCTGAACCGCCAAACCCCAAGTTCTGAGTTGTAGGGTCCAGGGTGCAAGGTGACTGAGTGAGATGCCTGGGGCGTCAAGTTTGACATAGAAGCCCCTGAGCCTTAAAAGCGTAAAGTCGTAGAGTCACAATGCCCTCAGGGTTTAGTGGTTTGGTTCTGGATCGGCGTACAGGGGTGATTGGCGCGGGGCTGACCCGGGGGTGGGGGGCTTCGTGAAATTACGCTCGCCACAGTCTGAACTGGTATAAGATTGAAGCCCTTTTAAAGCCCATAGATTTCTTCACAACGGGTTTACACGGTTCACGATGAGGGTTCTTCTTTAAGGGTTCGTTATGGGGTTTGTCCTTACTTGCATACAATCCTTGTTTTTGAGTCAAGCAGATGCCGCCTCAAGTCTGTAGCTACTGTAACTCAGCTTCAAGATCAAAACAGAAAGCCTCCCATCCGGAGCCTTCTCTTAGCCGGTTTGGGGTTTAGGGTCTGAGGCCCAAAAATTAGAGTTTAGAGCCTTGGCTTCGGGCTTGGATGGCTATCGCCATAGTTGGTAAGATGTCCACATCCCCCCCAGCCACCAGAAAGAGCCCAAGCATGTCCACACTCCACATCCCGGAGCATTCCATACCCTCACCTCCCAAATTCTGCACACGAAGCCCTCAAACCTGAACCTGAACCCCGAAATCCGAAAACCCCAAGCCCACAATGGTGAGGTACTCTACCAAGTGTTGACCTCCTCTGCTCTTCTGATCATAGCGGTGGTCGGCTTCCTCATGGCTCCTTGCCGTCCTTGACTCCCCGGAGAGTTGAGGATGCAGAAGCGTAGGGTTCAACAGGGCTTCCAATTTTCTTGGGGTTACCCTAGCCCCCGGAAAGCCTACCTTCTTAAGGATTTATGTACGGACATCATCAAAAGGAGCCCTGAATGTTAGGTTTCTTAGTGGGGGGGGGGGGTGGCTTGAAGGTTTAGGGACTCAGGGACCTTTTAGGGTTTAG